ACAAAGAAAAGCTGAACATACTCCCCTTCAGAAATGGAACAAGGCAAGAATGCCCACTTTCACCACTCCTATTCAACACAGTACCAGAAGTCCTAACCAGAGCAATCAGACAAGAAACATAAAGAGTATCCAAATTGGAAAAGAAGAAGTCCAGCATCTCTGTATGCTAACAATATGATCTTATACCTAGAGTATCCAAAAGATTCCTAAATTTGATAAATGAATGTAGTAATAATCAGCAAACACAAATCAGTAGCACTGCTATACACCAATAGCGACCCAACTGAGAATCAAATCAAGAACTCAATTCCATTTACAATAGCAGCCAAAAAGCTAAAATACCTACAGATATATTTAACCAAAGAGGTGAAAGATCTCTACAAATAAAACTACAAAATTCTGAATAAAGACACTGTAGAGGACACAAACAAATAGAGAAACACCTCAGGCTCACAGACTGGAAGAATCAACATTGTAAAAATGACCATATAATCCAAAGTTATCTACAGATTCAACATAATCCTTACCAAACTACCAATGTCATTTTTCACAGAATTAGAAAAAAAAACCTAAAATTCATATGCAACCCAAAAAGAGCCAGGATAGTCAAAGCAATCCTAAGTAAAAAGAACAAAGCCAGAGGCATCACATTACCTGAACTTCAAATTATACAAGGCTGTTGTAACCAAAACAGCATGGTACTGGTACAAGAGCAGACGCATGGACCAGTGGAACCATAAAGAGATTCCAGAAATAAACCCAAATACCTACAACCAACCAATCTTTGACAAAGCAGACAAAAACATAATACTCAACAAATAGTGCTGGGGAAAATTGGATAACTACATGTAGAAAAATAAAACTTGATCCCTATCTCTCCCCATATTAAAAAAATTAATTCAACATGAATTAAAGACTTATGTGTCACAGCTGATGCTATAAAAAAATCCTAGAAGAAAACCTAGGAAAAACTCTCCTGGACATTTACTGAATAGGTTCTCCTCAGCCTAGTAGTTGGTGGTGGAGGCTTTGTTGAAGATGAGTTGTTTGAAAAATTGAGGTTTGCGTCTGGAATCTCTATTCTGTTCTATCGGTCTATGTACCTGTTCTTATACCAATACCAGGCTGTTTTGATTATTGCAGCTTTATAGTAAAGTTTAAAGTCTGGAAATGTGATACCTCTTTTTTTTTTCTTTTTGCTGAGGATTCTTTTGGCTATTCATGATTATTTATGTTTCCATATGAATTCCTGTACTGTCGTTTCCAGGTCTGAGAAGAATGCTGCTGATAATTTAATGGGTATTACATTAAATCCGTAGACTGCCTTGGGTAGGATGGACATCTTAACAATGTCCAAACCATGAGCATGGGATATTTTTCCATTTGCTTGTGTCATCTTAGATTTCTTTGATTAGTGTTTTGTAGTTTTCATTGTAAAGGTCTTTCACGTTTCTGGTTAGGAAGATGCCAAGGTATTTCATGTTTTTGTGGCTACTATGAATGGAATTGTGCTTTTTATTTGGGTTTCTGTTTGTTTACTGTTGGTTTATAAAAATGCCACTGTCTTTTGCACATTTATTTTATACTCTGAGACTTTGCCCAAGTCCTTTATTAGTGCAAGGAGGTTGCTGACAGATTCTCTTGGGGTTTTTTTTGTTTGTTTGTTTGTTTTTTTTGTTTTTGTTTTTGAGTTGGAGTCTCATTCTGTCACCCAGACTGGAGTGCAGTG